CGGTCAGCACTGCCGTGGGTGGTGTCTCGTGGAGAGCAGGGGTCTCGGTCAGCACTGCCGTGGGTGGTGTCTCGTGGAGAGCAGGGGTCTCGGTCAGCACTGCCGTGGGTGGTGAACGCTGAAGGATGGGGCTCTGCAGAGCACGCTGGAAGCCTCCTCTCTTAGGGTGCTGCCCGTTGGCCACTGGCCCAGGCTACTCACCCCAAGTTGCTATTCTTGGCTTGGGACCTTCCCTGCTGCTCCCTCCTGCCCATCCCCAGGACACCCCACACTCTGCTCAGTGTGGACTTGTCTGCTGCCGGCTCTTTGTCCCTAGGGCAAGTTGCAGGCATCTGGCCTGGTGGCCCCTCAGTGTCTCCCCATGCATGTCTCCTGTTCCTGGCCCCTTGGTGCCCCTCTGTTCCCAGGGCCGCCCGCGTTGCCGGCCCTCCTCAGTCTGTCCTCTGCTCAGGATTGAGTTTTCCCAGGCGGTAAGGGGCTCCTGGCCTGACGCCTGCTGCGGGGTGCAGTGTGGGGGCTGCACTCCCCCTCCCCCACATGTGCCCCTCCTCTCTGGCTGTGAAGCCCCTGAGGCCGTGGCCTGGAGGGCTGGGTGTGCGCCTTCTGGCTTGGTGTCTCAAATGTCAGGGCGCCATCTTGGGCTCCGAGGCGTGCGCCCCTGACCTGTTGCCCTGTCTTCCTGTGTTCTTTTCACAGAAAGGAAAGAACCAGAAGCTGGCGTCGAGAACGACTTTCTCAAAGAGAACCAGTCCGCGGTGATAGAAGACAGAGACGAGAGCGAGCTGTCGGATGAGGAGGTTGCTGCCTTCTCTGGCGAGAGCTGGGAGGTCACGGCCGAGGACAGGTCGGTCTGCACGGGAACGGCTGAAGAGCAAGACCTGATTTTCGCGGCCGAAACACCCACCCCGCCAGAGGAGCCTGTGCCTGAGGACAGCGTGGACCTGCTGGGGCTGCATTCGGAGCCGGGGCCAGCGCCGGGGCCCCCTGCGCAGGGTGGTGCGGGCGCCTCCAGCAACGCCGAGCTGCTCAGCTGTCTGTTTGTGCCTCCCGCGGCCACTCCTGAAGGCCCCACGGGCGACCTGCTCGGCGGGGAGGCTGCACTGTTCTTCACCACCCCCAGCTGTCCCCAAGGAGCTCCGGACGCACCTCGCGAGGGACCCACTGCAGCTGGTACGTCCCTCTGTCCCCGTGGAGATCAGTCCTGCCCGGTGTGGACACGGGGAGATCACTCTGCCTGGTGTGGACACGGGATGTGCATTGTTGCTTTGAGGAAGGGGAATGTGCCTGTGGGAGGGGCTCTCCAGCAGTGTCATGTGCTCTGCCCGACCCTCACCCCTCCTGGAGGAGCAGCAGAGGTGCCGTCTGAGGCCTAAAGTGCCTCCAATGAGGGGCTGAGCACAGGCAACAGGCAGGCCAGGCGAGGAGGTAGCAAGTGTCCGAGGGTGGTCCAGGCACAGTGCTGAAGGGCTTCTCAGACTCTGTGCTAAGCAGGGCCCAGGAGTCCTCCGGTGGCTGTCTCAGGAAGTGGCAGCATGGCCTGGGAATATCATTCCTAGTGCTTCCTGGTGGTCCGACTCCCAGCCAGATTTGGGGACTGTGGGAGTCGGGGTAAGGAGATGCTATCATACCACAGTGGGCTGAGTTGCTGCCAGTCCATATGGAGAGGCCGAAGTTACAGCACGCGTCCTGTCGAGACTGGGAAACTCCTGCTCAGTGGAGACCCCAGAAGGTAGGAGGACCCCTGCCAGCTCCCATCACAGCTTTTCCAGTGTCCAGCACACGGCGCGGCCTCACCAACTGTCTGAGGAGGAGTTTGCTTCTGTGTGCAGAAGCCCTGGAGGTGATGTTCCTCCTCGCTGCCCAGCAGGCCAGTCCCTGCCCGTCATCTACCACCACCCTGTGAGGCTGGGCCCCTGCATGGACCCCTTCTTGGGGGATGCCACGCCTCATGCTGCCCTGATCTCTGATCTGGGCCACGTGAGCATGTCCCTTCATGACCGAGCCTGCCTGGTGACCACTGCTCCTGTCATTGGCCCTCCAAATGGCCCCACAGTTGTGGGCACCCAGTGCCATCCTGTCCTCATCTCTGGTGTCCACCAAGGGCACCACCAGCAGTGTCCTCCCTCCGAGAGCCTGTACTGCTGGCTCTCCATCTGCTGAATGTGCTGCTGTGAGACAAATGGCATCTGGTTTCCACCGTTGTTACTTTCTGCAGTTGAAGAGCAGCTACCAAAAAGAGATGGAGTTTCTGTGGTTAAGTGAGGCACCAGGCAACCCCATGCACTCTGGGGCTGAGACAGGGGTCTCAGCCCCTCTCTCTCCAGCCCTGCCCTCTTTGAAGTTGTTCCATCATGCCATGCTTCCAGCCATCATGTGCTGCTTCCTCTGGCTCTCACCCTCCAGGGCCCACTGGCTTGTGGACACATTGCCCCATGCACTTGTGAGTGGGTGCTCTAGGAACCACGGAATGCCCTCTGTCCTGGAAGCTGCACCCACCTCCCGAGCTGGATGACAGGGCGTTGAGATAAGAGGAAGCATCAGCGTTTGAGTGCAGCTGTGCCAGCAAGAGCTGCATCAAGAATAATAGTTAAAGTTCTCCTATCTGAAAGGATCAGCCACTCCTCGGAAGGAAGGTTGGGCAATCCTCCTTCCATAGTGATACTGCCTCGGAAACCCAAGGAGGGGTCGCTATGAGTCGGGGCCGACTCGACGGCACATAGCAACAACAACAACAACATCTGAAAGGATAGCTGCCCTCTGGATGGGTCAGCAGAGAACATTCTTTGTAAATGTGTGAAGTGTCCAAGGGAAAAGTCAGGTCCAGCCTGCCCAAGCACTTGGTAATAATTGGTTGAAAAGGACATCATCGTTTAGACTCCCAAAGATGCAGATGCCAGTTGCAAATTGAGGAGTCCACACAACACCCCAACCTCTGGCCTGCCAGCTGCCAGTTTGGGGCTAATTTTCCACTACATCATCAGGATGCTGGCCACAAGCTTGGGAGTCCACCTGACACCCTTACTTTCTGATCTGTTGGGTCCCACTGCCCCTTTGGGTTCTGACTCACTGGAACCAGAAGTCACAGAGCATATACCATCCTTAAGACAACAGGTTAATTATGGCTTAAAGAATACAATGAAGAGATGTGTAAGGCAGGATTCCAACATAGAACTTCCATATCCCAAGAGATGTGCTCCCCTCCCGGCAGTAGATGCTCCCACCAACCAGGAAGCTCTCTGAGCCTCTGATGTTCTCACCAACCAGGAAGCTCTCTGAGCCTCCATGTTCCCACCAACCAGGAAGCTCTCTGAGCCTCCGTGTTCCCACCAACCAGGAAGCTCTCTGAGCCTCCATGTTCCCACCAACCAGGAAGCTCTCTCAGCCTCCATGTTCTCACCAACTAGGAAGCTCTCTGAGCCTCCATGTTCCCACCAACCAGGAAGCTCTCTGAGCCTCTGATGTTCTCACCAACCAGGAAGCTTTCTCAGCCTCTGATGCTCTCACCAACCAGGAAGCTTTCTGAGCCTCCATGTTCTCACCAACCAGGAAGCTCTCTGAGCCTCCGTGTTCCCACCAACCAGGAAACTCTCTCAGCCTCCGTGTTCTCACCAACTAGGAAGCTCTCTCAGCGTCCTTGTTGCCACCAACCAGGAAGCTCTCTGAGCCTCTGATGTTCTCACCAACCAGGAAGCTCTCTGAGCCTCCGTGTTCCCACCAACCAGGAAGCTCTCTCAGCCTCCGTGTTCTCACCAACTAGGAAGCTCTCTGAGCCTCTGTGTTCCCACCAACCAGGAAGCTCTCTGAGCCTCCGTATTCCCACCAACCAGGAAGCTCTCTCAGCCTCCTTGTTCCCACCAACCAGGAAGCTTTCTGAGCCTCCATGTTCTCACCAACCAGAAAGCTCTCTGAGCCTCTGATGTTCCCACCAACCAGGAAGCTCTCTGAGCCTCTGATGTTCCCACCAACCAGGAAGCTCTCTGAGCCTCTGATGTTCCCACTAACCGGGAAGCTCTCTCAGCCTCCTTGTTCCCACCAACTTGGAAGCTTTCTGAGTCTTTGATGCTCTCACCAACCAGGAAGCTCTCTGAGCCTCCATGTTCCCACCAACCAGGAAGCTCTCTCAGCCTCTGTGCTCAGGGCTTTTATCAGCCAGTCCTGCATGAGAGGCTAAATTGTGACTCATGGGGCTAATTGATACTGGTTTCTGTCTGTCCAGCCACTAGTCAACAGCAAAAATCTTCAGATGTGGCCTGGAAGTCCCAGGCCAAGGCACCCAGTTACTCCAAGGGTTATTTCTCCAGAGCCAAGGACAAAGGGCACCTTACTTGGGGTAAAACGAGTCAAAAGGCACTAAGTTATAAGGTACATACCACAGGAAACCTCTAACGCCACGCTGTCATCCAATGGCATGCACCTCTCCTACTGTCTTTTCTCTAGCTGACCCATTTGACCCTTTCCTGATGTCAGCCGATTCAGACGCTCAGACCTGCTCCGACCCTGATCTCTTGGACAAGTTCCTTCATCCTGACCCCTCAGCCACGCCGCCTACCGTGTTCCCCTCCATGCACAGCGCCCCGCCCCTCTCCTCCAGTGTGGACTTCCTGCACCTGGGTAAGCCCCACCCTGCGGCCCGCATCTCTGAGCCATGTGCAGGGACTCACAGAAACCCACGTGTTTGCATCTCCGGCAGAACACTGGCATTGGCTGGTGTGGTCTTGCTCGTTTGGCATTGGTTCTTGAGGATGACACCTGGGGACTGGGAGGCAGGTTTTCAGGTTGATTACCTGAACACAAATCTTTAGTGTAAGCATAGCATAGATTTCAGGTGTTCACAGCACCTGAGCCAGGAGTGAGGCATCTGTGCCTCTCAGTGGACGAGGGAGAACGGCGTGGACTCTGGGGTCTTGCGGGCACATCGAGTCTTGACTCTACCCTCTGACCACATGGCCTCTCACACTCGGGTAGTTCTGCTTGTTCTGGGAATGACAGAAGGCCTCCACAGGGCTCGGCTCTGCCCCACGCTTCATGGTGCACTCTCAGTGGCTCAGGCCTCTCAGGTCCTGCCCAGCTCCTGTGAGCCATCCCCAAGATGGTGCCGTGACACCTGTGCAGCCTGGACACAGGTGTTGTGGGAGGCAGGCCCAGAGCTGCCACCCAGCGTGTTCTGGAGGCCAAGTCTTCTCTTCCTTTCCTCCTGTCCCAAACCGGTCCCAGCCTCGACCCGGTTCTCAGTACTGCAGCTGCGGCTTGGTTTGCTCTGTGCGTGCACAGGCCTGCGTGCTGCTCAGCAGGTGTGTGCAGGCCCACCCCACAGGCACTGCCCCTCTAGGCCCCAGGGCCAGGAGGGGAGCAAAGCCATCGCAGCCACCTTAGCGCAGGGCTGGTGTGGGGTAAAGTGAAGGGACAGTAGGGACAGAAAAATGCAGGGAGTAAGCTCTGGGAAGTGAGTGTTAACAGGAGGGCATTGGAGGTGGGTTAGTTCTGGGGAATGTCCAAGGAGTGACTGGATTGGCTTGTTCCAACACAGAGAGGCCTGTGTGGCCAGAGCAGTACTGCCAGGGGAGGCCAGGGACCAGGAGAAGGTGCAGGCCAGGAGAGGGTGTAGGCTGGGGGAGGGCAAGGACTGGGAGAAGGTACAGGCTTGGAGAGGGTGCAGGCTGGGTGAGACCATGAGTCAGGGGCAGGGTGCAGACCAGGAGAGGCCACGGACCAGGGACAGCCATGGGCTGGGAGAGGGTTCAGGCCAGAGGAGGCCTTGGGTTGGGTCCTGTGGTCCTTAGCGAAGGTTGTGCTGGGTGGCTGCTGAGGGTTCCAGCAGAGGGCTGTGGACGCTTTGACATTCTGCTGTGTGCTGTAGGAGCCTTGCAGTGACCGCAGGCAGACAAGCTGTGGGTGGACAGAGTCGTCTGACCTTGCAATACTGCTGGCACTAGCAACAGTGAGAGGTGGCACAGACACTGTGCACCCAGGTGCCAGGACTGCCAGGGCTCGGGGTGGACCCTGAGGGCAGGGCGCACAGGTCGTCTGTCTCCTAGGATGGGGATGTGACAGCCACTACATGCTCTGGCAGGTTTTAGGGAGGGACAGGAGGTGCATCTGAAGGTGCCTGCAGGCGTGTGTGTGAGGGACCAGGCGTACCTCATGAGAGTGATGTCTATGAGGACGCCTTCTGATGCCTGACTTGCAGAGGCTAGTTCTTGTCACCTCGTGAGCTCCACCCTCATGTCAAGGAGCACATGAGTGTCCTGTGGGTCCCGCTGGAACCAAGGCTGCACACCTGTGAGGAAAAGGCTAGGGTGTGGCTAGAGACCAGGCTCCTGGCAGGCTGAGAGTGCTGGGGCCTGGCCCTGCACACCTGGCAGCCAGCCAGGGGGCTCAATGCTCACCTGCCTGTCCCCATCGCCCCTGCTGAGCCTGGGTCAGTGCACGAGGGGATGGCCAGCCTGAGCCCTGCTGCCCATGGCGCAGGCATGGCACAGCCCCGCATGGAGGCTGCCCCTCTGGGCCCTGCTGCCGAGACAGCCATCGTGGCAGCCCTCTTGGGAAGCGCCTTCCAGCCTGGGCTGCCTCCTGCTAACTCATGAAGGATGGCTGTTGGAACTGACGTCCCCAGAGATGGGATGTGCGGGCACACATGTGAGTGTGTGAAGAGCCTGCCCCATGTGGGGAGGGCCGGCAGGGCAGACAGACTGTAGAGTGCTGCTCTCTCCTGGCCCTTTATTCCAGAGGATCTGCCGGCAGAGCCCAGCAGGATGACGGCCTCCTCCAGCCACCCGGATCTCCTGGGAGGATGGGACACCTGGGCTGGGGCTACAGCCTCCATGCCAGCCCCCAAGCCAGCTGCAGAAGGTAGGGCACCCCCTGGCGGCTGCTGGGACTCACTGGATGGGGCGTGTGGTTTTAGAGCCTTTGAATTGTCCAGGTCTTCTCCCGTTGTACAGTACTGTAGCTGCAGCTTTCCCTAGAAAGTGGGCAGGACTGCCACAGGCCGGCACACGACATGACCCACACCCACGAGGCGCGAGAGCAGAGAGTGCGTGGGCCTCACCTTTTACTACTTGGTGTGTGGTACAGAGACGTGCTGTAGTTGCCGGCCTGCCGTAGGCTCACTCCCGTGTCAGCCGTGCTCCGCTGTTTCCTCTTCTGCAGGGTGTTTTGCAGTATTTTTTGTATTTCGCATACTCTCGTTTAGACGTTTTTACCCATAACATGTCTGCAGTGTTTTCTGTGCCCTGTGGGTACTCCCAACTCCTGAAGCTGCTGACAGGCCCCTGGGTATCTGTCTCGTGCGTGTCCACCCGTGATCAAGCCTGCTGAGAAACACCTGGTAGTGAATCGCCGTCAGAGAGCATGCATCTTTACAAGGCCTGTGGCACATACAACTCTGGTGGCATAGTGGGTGAGGCATTTGGCTGCTAACCAGAGGGTCAGTAGTTCAAACCCACCAGCTGTCCCGTGGGAGGAGGGTGAGGCAATCTACTTCTATAAAGATTTACAGCCTTGGAAGCCCAGTGGGAGTCACGTGAGTCTGAATTGACTCTATGGCAATGGGTTTGGTTGCCACATACTCTGCTTTACATAGATTTTATTATTCATCTTCTGCCTGGGGGTAGTTTCTGCCCTTGGTTTCTCACCAGAATTGGATAATAACTTTAAGGATACAGTTTACAGGACACCACATCCCAGGACACCTTTTGGCCTAATTCATGTTTCTTCACTGGAGGAGGTTGACTGTTGTTTCCTATGATTTTTGTTATTTGTTCTTCTTTTGAGAACTATTTGATGTTCTCTGCTCCTTTTCCTGTTGATTTGTAAGAGCTCTTTATGTGTGAAGAAACTGCCATCTCTGATGACTGCACGAGATTGTGTTGTATGACCATGCAGTGATTAACTGAGGTATTTCCTTGCTCTTCTGTGGTCTTACAAGGAATATTACACACAACACCCCCATTAGAGTAGCTCTCAGGAAGTGCTATTGTATTACCGGAACAGTGTGAACATTCTTGGTTTAGGTGCAAGGTGCTCCTTCATTCTCAAAAGGACGGCCCTAACCGGGTGTCCACGTGTGATTGCGTTCTGGGACTGGCTCACAGCTTTGCCCTCTTTCACCTTGAGATTAATGTTGCAATCCTAAGTCAAGGACTAAAACACGTGTCTTGTTTAAAGTGACAGAGCTGCCCGTTCTAAGTACAGGTGAGTGCCATTGGGATAGCAAGGAAGGTTCAGGAAGGAACAGGGCAGGGCTCCTGGGAGGCCCGTGTTCCTAATGCCGTCTGCTCTTGCCCCTTCCAGGCCCCCTCTGCTCTTCTGGAGGTCAGCCAGCAACCCCGCCCGGCCCCTCAACCACCCGGATCAAGTCACAGAACGCGGACCCCTTTGCCGACCTCGGTGACCTGGGTGCAGGCCTCCAGGGTAATGAACATTACCTGGAAGGGGGACACGTCAGAGTGTATTGACAGTGTTAGGTCCCTTGTAGGAATTCTTATTCTTGGACAAGTTGATGACAAAGCCAACCCTCTTGGACCACACTTAACTGTGTGTGGCTCCTGCCTCTAAACGCTGGGCTGCCTGGAGAGGAGGGCCTTCATCTCATGTGCTCACTGACTTTCCCATGCCTGTGGCACAGAGAGCCCAGTGGGGTGGAGACATCTGATCTCAAAGTATTTTTGTGAGTTAATGCTTGCATCTTAGTCCAGTTGTTAACTAGTTACTGCTAAGTCAGTGCTGCCAAGCCCCTTCCAGCCACCCCTTGGAAGAGGCCCCCGCATACACTGCCCTGGCCTACGGAGCTGTGACGACTGCCTGGGAAGCCCAGGGTACTGGGTATGTGAATGCAGCCAGTGGACGCAGTGCTCTGAACAGAGGTGCACAGGGTGTAGGCGTCCGTGTCTGGGTGGTGGAGCTAGTGACACGTTTAATCCACACCCCAGTGAGTTCCCCTCTGGCTAGGCTCTGCTCAGGCCGCCAGGACCCTGTGATGAAGAAAAAGTGCCACAACCCTCAGTGACCAGAGACACTGCCAAGAGCTTCACCAAGGATCGGAGCTGGGGCAGGGGCTGCCAGCAAGGCCTCCCCCTTCATGCAGCCGAACACTGCACAGTGATGGGGCCCTGCCTGCTGCAGACTGAATGCTGCCTGCTAAGAGCCCAGAGAGTCCTGTGCCCGGGCAGGACAGGCCCTGAGTCAGAACAGTCCTATAACTAAATAAAAGGAGCCACGAGTGGAGGCATCCCCAAAGGGACCTTCCAGGCCCGGGCGGTTTCTCTGAGGATTCTTCCACACACGTCCCAGGTCACTGTGTGAGGACAGTGTGACCCCAATCCCAGCAGCAGACAGACAGCACAGGAGAGGACAAGTACAGATGGTGTCTCTCAGGAGTGTGGGCAGAAAAACCCTCAACAAACGTTAATAACTAGAATTCATCAATACATGCAAGAATTGTACACCTGACCAGAGGGTTTTCCCCAGGAGTTAGCAAGGCCGACTGAGCATTCCAGAATCACTCAGCCCAAGAAGGAAATCGACACAGTCACCACAACAACGCAGAAAAAGTGTTTGAAAGCCTGTCCTGTTCGCAGTGAGGACGTCAGCGGTTTGGGAAGAGCCGGGAACCTCCTGCCCTTGGTGGAGGGTCTGCCAGACAGCTCCAGCTCCGTGAAAATAATCATGAAGGTAACTGGTGCTTTCTCCCTGCGTCACAGAGAAGACGAGAGCGGTCTCTCTGCCCGTTCTTATGTCCTGAGGTCCTGGCTAGTGCAGCGGGATAAGAAGAGGGAATAAAGGTTTTCCATCCCCAGAAAAAAGAAAATTACTTCTGTGTGCATGATTGTTTATGTGGGCCATCAGGCAGTCAACAAAAATCTTTTGGAACCAGTAAGTGAGTTTAGTAAGTTTGCAGGATACAAGGTCAACGTAAAAACACATGTTAGGTTTCTGTTCAGACCAATGTACACGTGGAAACCCAAACTAAAACAGTACCATTTACAATTGGTTGACAGAAAACGAAACAAGTATAGATCTAACAGAACATGTGCAGTGCTTTGATGGTGCAAACTACACAACAAAGCATGATGAAAACAAACAAGACCTAAACAAACGGAGAGACGGACCATGGGCACAGATTGGCAAACTCAGTATTTAAATAAAGACTTTGATTTTTGAGGTTCAAAAGACATCAAGTCTGTTGATCTATATGTTCAGCATAAGTCCTACCAAAATATCCTAGCACAAATTTCTGTAGATACAGACCAACTTACTGTGGGCTTTGTTTGGGAAGGCAGAGGAGCGAGGCTAGCAGAAGAGTAATTGGACAGAATCAGTCCTCCCCGTTGTATGGCTTCCTGCACAGCCCCAGAAGTCAAGGCCGTGCAGCACTGACAGGGCCAGACACAGCTCCATAAGACACAGCCGTTGTTGCTGTTCTTTGCCGTCAAGTGAGTTCTGCCTCATGGTGGCCCTGTGTGTGCGGAGTGGGGCTGCTTCATGGAGCTGGAGGGTGTGACCTTTTGGAAGCAGGTCACCAGAGCCATCTGCCAAGGAGCTCTGGACGGGTTCTAACTGCCAGTCTTTTAGCTTGTCAGCGAGCGCTTAACTATTTGCATCACCCAAGGACTCAGGAAAAGAGTCAAGGACCCAGAACTTGACCCTCATAGGTAAGGCGTGTGATTTCTGACAGCTACAGGAGCGACTGAACAAATTGTGCTCCAGCAAGTAGATGGCCATTGGTGGAAATGAGCCCCCTAAACCCCAGGCCTTCTACAGCAGCCAGCTCAAAATTGCCCACCGATTCAAATGGGAGACACACAAGCATCAAGCTGTTAGAAGAGGACAGTCATAGAGTGGTGTGTCATCGGCCTCGTCCACCATCAGGAGGTGGACAGGAGAGCCCCCATCAGCAGCCTAAGGGTGATGCCTCCGCCCGCACGCGGACCACCACATCTTCACCCTTCTCAAGTCTGATGCCAGCGTCCCTCCCAGGGACCCTCCACTTCTCTGCCAGCTTCAAAAGTCCCTTGCAGTGGCCACACATGACTCACAGACCATACTCACGACTAGGAGCTCTACCAGGGAAGTTTATAGGTTGCAGTTCACCATCAGGATCAACTTGGAAGTAACGAAAAACGCAGGATATAGTTCTTCCATCAGGACAGCTTTTTGGGCATGTCCACAGACAGGAAGCCTCGTGCCCAAAGACCCTCACATCTCTCACTTCGTGGGTCAGCAGGCCCAGCTCCACCAACAAGTGCCTGAAGACATCCCACTCCATCAAGAAGCCTCCTGCCCAAAGGCACTCAGCTCTCTCCCTTTGTGGGCCAGGAAGCCCACTGTAGCCACCTCACTCTGTGAACCGGGAAGCCCACTGCACCATCTCGCGCCTGGTTCTTGCCATCTCATGCCACTGCCACCTACAGTGTTGTAGTTCTTTATGTTACAGCTCTCCCTGTCTCCTGGGTCTAGGAGTTTCTCAGCATAGGGACCCCAGGTCCAAAGGACGCACTCCATTCCTGCCTCTTCTTAATGATAGTGAGTTTTTCATCCAATCTATGGGGATGGTTCCTATTAAGTTCAGCAGAATGGCAAAGCTGACCAATTGCCTACAAGGGTTTCATGTACCTTATTTGTATTAGCAAGCTATGCAGTCCCCTTGGTGAACCACAAACACTGATTTGTGTAGTCCTACCCAGTCATTTTGTGGGGATTACAGGACCGTGGCTAGAAGGGCCATATTAAAGCAACTCACTGCACTGCAGTAGGAGAAAGTGTTTGGGACCTGGAATTCCTAGACATGTCACCTAAACCAAGATCCAAGAAAGAGACAGTGGATCAGCTGACATCATTAAATTGAAGTGAGTGGCTACACCATGGTCCACACGTACCAAGGAGCCTACTCAGCAACAAAAAGCAACCACCTGGGGTCGCCCCCAGTGACGTGGATGGACGCTGCATGATGAGGAGAGCCTAACTCAGAAAGTCACCAGCTGGGGTCGCCCCCAGTGATGTGGACGGACGCTGCTCGATGAGGAGAGCCTAACTCAGAAGGTCACCAGCTGTGTGGCTCCATCTACAAAATGTTCTTGAAGCCACAGCATTGCCGAGGTGCAGAGCAGATTGGTGGTGGTGAGGGCAGTGGGGTGGGGTAGGGACAGGGTGGGTGTAGCTTTAAGGGGCAGCATGAGGGAGTCCCGTGGAGGCTGGGACAGGCCTGTCCTGATTGTTCTGGGAATCTATACACAGGTGCACCCATGCACACGTGTGTCTGTACACACACGTGTGCATGCAAGTAACAGCTAGTGAGGTCTGAGTTCACTCGGTGGGTGTGCCCAGGCCAGACCCTGGTCTCGGTGGTGACGGTCGTGTGAGGCGTCACCCTGGAGGACTGAGCTAGGCACACTAGATTCTCTCACGGCCAGTTTTGCTATGTCCTGTGAGTATTTGAATATACAATTTTTTTTTTTTAATCCTTCTTCTTAGAGGATTTGAAAAGGAGTGCTTAAAGGTGGACACACTGGTGCCATCTGGCCATTTTCCTCAGGCTGTTTGTTGCCAGATGGTGACGCTGGTCCCTGGCACATGTGCATGAGTGAGCACCTTCACTGTGCTGGCTGGATCCAATGGGGGCATTACCTTCACAGCCAGCCCACCCTGGGTCTGACCCCATTCCAGAGTATTCCAGTTGCCACCATGATTGGCTGTGCCGTCCTGCTGCCAAAGACCCTTGTCACATGCTGTGGACTGAACTTGGTGACTCTTTTTTAATTTTGATCTGGGTGAAGATTTACAGAGCAAATTCACTTTCCATACAGCAGTTTACATACACTTGGTCTCATGACATTGACCACAATTCACCACAACACAACAGCTCCCCTCCCACCTCCCCCCAATAGTCACCTCTTCCCTGTGTCCATCCCTGCATGCAACCCTACCCCCTGAGCTGCTCCCTGTGCATAAACACCCCTTCTTTCTGCCATGATTGTTCTCTCCAAGGAGTGTATTTACCTCAGGTAAATGTTCAACTCCTATGCCTACCTTTTGCTTGGCTGGAACCCACAGGTGTGGGTTCAATTCCAGACCTGAAGGGAAGCTAGGGCCATAGTCTTTGGTGGTTCCACCAGGCTCTATCAGACCAGCAAACCTGGTCCCCCTTTTTTTTTTCCAAACGATTTTGAGTTTTGTTCCACATTGTTCTCCCTCTCTATCCAGGATCTCCTACATAGATCCCTCTCTGAGTGGTTGACATTGGTAGCTGGGCACCATCTAGTTCTTCTGGTCTCATAGTCATGTAGGCTATGGATCGCATGGTGTACCAGTCGCTAGGACTAATTATTTCCATGAATTTTGGTTTTCTTCATTCTTCTTTGCTCTGGACAAGGAGAGACCCATCATTGCATCTAGATGGCTGCTTGCAAGCTTTT